TTCTCCTCCGGCGCAGGGGTTTCTGCTCTTTCGGTCGTGGAGATAGGATTGCGCATTTACAGCCGTCTCCTTCTTTTGGCGAAGAATGAGACTGCTACTTTCCGGAGGGGTCCTTAGGTTGTTGATGCTTGTTTGGTCTGACCGGGGAGTTGCATCATTTTTGTGTCTGGTTGCGGCCCTCCGCTGTTATGTGTGTGCACCACGGCTTCTGTGCCCGGGGACGCGCTTTGGGTTGATCCGGTTTCCCTTCTTCCCTGTTTGCGAGTAAGGGTCTCTCGGGTCGTCTGCTTAGTTATTCAGTCTAGCCAGCCTGCGGTCTATTCCCGTACCCATGACGTTCGTAAGTTCGCTGCTCTTGCGACCGTTTTTGGGTACATGTCCTGGGCTGACATTCAGGCAAAGGGTTTTTGGCGGTCGAACGGGGTCCTGGCTGCATGCTACCTCATGCACGTTCCTGGGCCTAGTTGGGCTTGTGTCACTTTGGGCCGGTGGCTGCAGCCTGTCCCGACTTCGAGTTGAGGTGTGGAGCACCGACTGCCATCTGGATAAGTCCCCTTTATTCCTTAGTCTTTGGTGAAGTAGTTCCGGGGAGCCGTAGGGGCTTCCCCCAGAAAACCAGCGTTGAATGTAATGAAAGGCCATATACTGGGTGAGTCCCAGAGGCTCCCTGGCAACCTTACCTCCCTCCGGTCGGCGGTTTTCGCGTACAGGTATTTTGATATCCAGCCTTGGAACTGAAGGTGTGGATCGCCGGTGCAAGGGTCTGGGGCTTCCCCTTCCACCTCCCGGGGAGGGGGGAGCTGTGCAGACATGCTTCGCGGCTCATGTGACATCATGTTTGTTTGCTCGTTTTCAATTGGGGGAAGTTTTATCTTATTGTTTCGTTATTTTTGTTGGTTTTACCAGAATAGGGGTTTGTTTTGAGGCGTTTACCTTTCTGGGTGCCTGTCCCGGTCGATGGCAGATACAGAATGCTTCAAAATCACATGTGCATTTCTATAGGCCATTGTTCCTAGTGCCTCTCTGAGGGGGGGGCCAGGTTCTGGCTGTGGTCCCCAGTAGGCCTAGAACTCCACCCACATTGACTGATGTCAAAAGTTAGGACTGTCCCTATCAGCCTGGATAGCTTTGGGCAGCCTCCGGGAGACACCCAGAAAATGGCATTTCATTACATTCAACACTGGTTTTTTGTGTTATACGCTCTTTTCTGGGGGAAGCCCTTGTGTCTCCCTCAAACCTGTCTGAACCACTAAGATGGTTCCCATCTCCCAGGTCTCATCACATGTGGAGTTCTTAGGTCTACCAGAGCCAAAACCTGCCCCCCCCTCCCCCCTCACAGAGGTTCAGGGAATGGTGACAAAGGTGCATTTGAGCTGGGACAGAGGAGCTGGGGACTTCTTGCAACCTGACCAGGGAAGGCATCCACAAAGTCAGCATCAAAATAAACCACTGCAGATTTCTAACGATACTAAACACAAGTTCTAAAGACAACCTGCCTTATGAACTCCCAACTATGTAAACAAATTATCAAATGTCTCAAACTAGTGAGAGCTCAGTTGCCCCACCTCTTCCACTCACTTGAGGGAGGGGTAGGGTTATCTTGAGGTTATCTTGAGATGATTTCGGGGCTTTTAGTGTCCCCGCGGCCTGGTCCTCAACCAGGCCTCCACCCCCAGGAAGCAGCCCGTGACAGCTGACTAACACCCAGGTACCTATTTTACTGCTAGGTAACAGGGGCATAGGGTGAAAGAAACTCTGCCCATTGTTTCTCGCTGGCACCTGGGATCGAACCCAGGACCACAGGTCACAAGTCCAGCGTGCTGTCCGCTCGGCCGACCGGCTCCCACCGGTCGGCCGGTGGGAGGGAGAGGAGAGGAGGGAGAGGAGCTCACCACCTCCAGAAGTCTGAGTTGTTAGTTCTAATGCTGATGTAGTCCAGGTCACTTAACATGTATATTTGTCAACATACATGTCATGCATACTGGACTGCATACCTGATGCAGTCCAGGTATGTTTATCAACATACAAGATATCAAGATACACAAAACAAATTTTTCTTTATAACTGGTCTCTAAACAAGCCAATATGCAATGTTTGCAGCTTTAACTGAAACTTGTACAAAAGTCTTTAATGACAGTGAGATATAGATACCAGAATTCAGTATTTTCAGATTTGATAGGAAATATAGGCTACAGGGAAGAGGAGGGGGTCAGCCTGTTCATCAAAGATACACTTACCTGGTCAGAGCAATAACAACACCAAAAACAATATTGTGGAAGTGCTGATAATCAAAATAGGAATTCTAAATGTGGCAATTTTCCTTGTATATAAATCACCAGATGTAAATCCTCAACAGTTTAAAGACCAACCTAAGAAAATAGAATAGTACTTAAGAAACCCTCACAAACTCTGCCCCAAAGATTATCTTGCTTGATGATTTAAACTTACGGCACTTAACCTTTCGGCTGTGTACCCCATCAGGTGATGAGGTGGCTAATTATGGCCAAACTGTGCATCTCACCAGGTGAAGTATTAGTCACACCCTCAAACAAGAGTGGTGGAACTTTCACACATAACGACACAGAAATGAGTGAAACACTGAGGCTACAGTACAGTTCTGTATCCAATAAACCCCTGAACACATTAAAATCAATGATCTAAATAAATTCTTTTTGAATGTGACACCACCATTGAACCATATATCAGTGTCACCCTAACCCCCCACTGGACTTTGAAGTAGCCATAGACAGCATTCCCATGCACTCTACACCAGGCCCGGACTCCTGGAACTCTATATTCATCAAGAATTGCAAAATAACACTATCACAAGCTCTAAACATCTTTTGGAGATGGAGCCTATAAAATTGTGTTATTCCTGGAGGCCTGGTCGAGGACCGGGCCGCGGGGACACTAAAGCCCTGAAATCATCTCAAGATCTCAAGATAACCTGACATACTTAAAACACCATTTCACAATGAAAGTAGTAAAGCAGATGCAAAAAAATATAACCTTTCTAATTTAACATCACACATCATAAAAGTCTTTGAAAGGGTGCTAAGAAGTCAAATCACAAAACACATGGATTCATTGTCTACATAATCTTGGGTAACATGGGTTCAGGACAGGGCACTCCTGCCTCTCACAATTGCTAGACCACTATGACTTGGCCTTAGGTGCCGTGGAAGACAAGCAAAACGTTAAAGTAATATGCACAGATTTTGCAAAAGCTTTTGACAGATTTGACCCTGATTTTATTGCACACAGAATGCTCAAAAACGTAATTGCTGGCAGAGTAGGGAGATGGATCTTTAACTTCCTAACAGAACCCAGAGTCGGATAGTCAACAAAGTAAAAATCTAGATCATCCACCACGAAAAGTTCAGTCCCCCAAAGTACTGTGCTTGCTCTGGTACTTTTTCTCATACTCATATCAGACAAAGACAAGGATACAAACTACAGCACTGCATCATCCTTTGCAGATGACAGTAGGATTTGCATAAGAGTAGACAATATACAGTAGTCAGTAGTTTCAAAGCATCATGTGACAGAGTACTGGAAAGACGGAACACCATGATTGTAATTCTCATCTTGTAACTACACTTATGTAATCACATTTAGGTAAATACAGACCTGAGAGAAGGATTCCTGACCCAACACCACTAAACCTAACAGAATGATGGGGGGAGGGGGGGGGGGCAACTTTACAGATCCTGGGAAACTATCTGGTAATCCCATGGGTTGTTGGACTAGGAACTGGCAAAATGGGCCACATGTTCCCCGCACAGTGTCATCAAAGGGGCAAACGCAAGGCCAGCTCAGTCACCCATGCAGGGCCACCCACTTATAATATGTAGTTGCTACATTTAGCAGAAGAGGCCTATCCTAACTAACAGCAGATGAGGCCCCCAACCTTGGAGGACTGTCTCTGAGCAGAAGGGGGACAGAACCCCTCTGCCGAAGAACCAGACTATGTTACTATGTTACACACAGAAATCACAATAGCGTGATGCATCAAATGACAATAGCGTGATGCATCAAATGAACAAATCCACAAGGGCCGTGACGAGGGTTCGAACCTACATCCGAGAGGATCCCAGACGCTGCCTTAAACGACTGAGCTACGACATGGTCAAAAGAATTGCAACCAGAAGTTCTACTGAACTTACTTGGATCCTGCAACCTCTCCGAGACACAAACCAGGGTTTTACACAATTCCCCCATGCACTCGAGCTCTATCAATAAGATATTCTACCTCTTCGTCCTTACTTCATTACACACAGAAATCACAATAGCGTGATGTATCAAAATTCTTGATGCAAACATGGTTGCAATTCTTTTGACCATGTCATAGCTCAATCGATTAAGGCAGCGTCTGGGATCCTCTCGGATGTAGGTTCGAACCCTCGTCATGGCCCTTGTGGATTTGTTCATTTGATGCATCACGCTATTGTTCATTTGGGCAGCATTGACAAATCCAGAACTACATACATCAAGGCAGCCATACCAGGAACAGATTTCAAAATCAGAGAACAGATCAACAACTGCCATGACACAAAATTGCCATCAAGTGGGTTCAAGCCCAGTGATCCTCTGCAGTAAGGGCTCCAGAGAGCATGGACAGCTGGACATGGTGCTGGCCCTTGCCCACATCCTTGAGGAGCACCGGTGCAAACAAGCAGTGCCCCCCAAGAACATGGGCAAGTGGTGGAACTCATTCCTGCCACACACATGTTTGGGTTTGACAGACTCCATGTCAAGCCCCCAAGGAAAGAAGTGTGTTGTCAGCCAGCCAGGATGCTGCATCAGAATCAGTTACCTTTGTTTCCCCTTTAATTACAGTACTGTAATTGCCCTTTCTATTCCATTCGTTTCATCTTCTCCTTTTGATTTTGTCTAACTTCCTGAGGAAAATGTTATTTATTATCTTTAGTATTATTTTAATTTTATTTGCTCCCCATTATTTCAACAAATTTGTAATGATATATCCTATTTTGTTTCAGTCATGATGTACATTCCCAAGTTGGAGAGAATGCCAAGAGAAAACAGTCAAAGTCGGCAACGAGAGGGGATGAAATTGAATCAAAGAATACGTCGCAAAAATCCTCGAGATTTTCTGATAAAACTTCCAATGCGCTCAGGTTATGTAAAGGGCTTCAAAGTGCACCATGGAAAACAAAGCACAATGTTAGTAGTTCACATGGAAAAAGTGTGTCTGTCTGTTCTTCTGCATCAACACCTCGTCTTAAGGAGTTGGGCTCGTCTGTGATAATAGAAGTTAAGCCATCTGTGTATTCTGAAGATCATGATGCTAGCATATCAGACGAATCAGATATTTCTGCCAAAGGTATGATGGTTGTTTGACAGTTTGCACTGCTTCTTTATATATACTTCCTCATATATTTCACTCTTAATTTTGAAGCATATCAAGATCTTGTGAGGACCAGAGATCACCACAGAACTGAGCAAAGGATCCACCAGAAAGTCAGCATGCTTCAAAATAAGCAACTTCTCATTCCCTATATGGTTGATAAGCAAGTGAAAGGTATTGAAGGAGGTGGTTGTCGAAGCCAATTCCATCCACAACTTTATTTTTGCAGACAAGAGTTCTTACATTCTTGTAAAGCCACTAACATGCATATCATGTTGGGCAGGTACTTGATCCTCATTTTTCCTGGAATATGACTTGCCAAATCATTTAACAACCAGGTATCCATTCACTGCTGGGTGAATAGAGGCATAAAGTTATAGATTGGCGCCTAGTCAGTCCTTCCTGGTCAGGATACGGACCCTGGTAAAATCATTCACGATGAATGGGACGAGTTACTACTGCATCACAGGAACTGTGATGAAAAGTTAATATTGATAAGAGTATTAAGCATGCCAGGTATGAATGGCTAAAAGGCAGGACATTGAGAGTTAGGCCTCACTCCCCCAATCACTGATAGGTGATTGGTAAGCAACAACTGATCAGGGAAGCTGGGTGTTGGCTGGGTTTGGGCCACCTGGAGGTGGTTATCACTACTAATAAGTTTGAGTTAGTTTTGAGTGAATCTGTTTTCTGTTACCTGCTTGATACCTGCTTGATGGGGTTCTGGGAGTTCTACTCCCCAAGCCCGGCCCGAGGCCAGGCTTGACTTGTGAGAGTTTGGTCCACCAGGCTGTTGCATGGAGTGGCCCGCAGGCCCACATACCCACCACAGCCTAGTTGGTCCGGCACTCCTTGGAGGAAACAATCTAGTTTCCTCTTGAAGATGTCCACGGTTGTTCCGGCAATATTTCTTATGCTCGCTGGGAGGACGTTGAACAACCACGGACCTCTGATGTTTATACAGTGTTCTCCGATTGTGCCTATGGCACCTCTGCTCTTCACTGGTTCTATTCTGCACTTTCTTCCATATCGTTCACTCCAGTATGTTGTTATTTTACTGTGTAGATTTAGGACCTGGCCCTCCAGTATTTTCCATGTGTATATTATTTGGTATATCTCTTGTCTCGAAAAAAGGTTTTTCTTTTATTTTTGTTTCCTTTGCCTCGAGAGGTCTGCCTTGTTTGGCTATTGGTCCACTTTTTATATTTTGGTTGCCCTTCTCTAGGCCTCCATGACTGTACACGTTGTAGAGGTTTCAGTGTTTTAGCTCATCCCCCTTTGTTAGATCTTGGGTTCAACTGGCTTTGCAACACCTGGGCTTCCTGTAGAGGTCAGCTTACGGGCTCTGGAAAACCTCATCGAGGCTTGGTGGACCAATAGATGCATCTTCAGAGTTCCAGCTCGCCTCGTGCAAGTTTGAAGGTTGCTCTATGCTTTTGTCTCAGGGTGACAGTCACCAGTTTTGCCTCTGTGATGCTGCCTGTTGGGTCAACAATACCTTTGACCCGGAGTCTTACGAGACGTGTTTTCTGCTTGTGCTCCAATTTACCCATTCTGTAGATATTGAGGTTTTGGTACAGGTGGCATCAGCTCAGTTTAGGTTGCTGCAACATGCTAGGTTGGTTGCCAGCTCGGATGCCCTGAGGCTGCCCCATTTTTTGTTAAAGGGACCCAGACTTCGAGGCCTTAGTCACTTCAACTTTGGTTCAGTCCGCGCTTCCCTGTCCTTCCTAAGTTGATGTTGTTTGCCCAACTCTTTCCCCCCCCCCTCCCTCCTGCTCCTGGCTCCATAACATCTGAGGATTTCGGAGTCAGGGGGTGTGATTTAGTTGATAGGGAGGCTCGGGCGGCTTCGGGGATTTCCCCATTCGAGTTGGGTACGGAGGCATTCGAGCCTGTTCCTTCTGCAGAGGCTTCTGGGTCCTACCAGCAGACCCCCCCCCCCTCCTTCTTTCCTGCCTTTCCCCTTGATTCTGCCTTTTTTCAGGGGTAGATGGCATGGAGGACAGCTCTGCCCCGGATTCTGGTTTGGAGGATCACGGGGTGGGGGTAGAGTTGACCTGATGGGGGCTTGAGCCCCCTTTGATCCCGCTTGGATTTTGGTGCCCTCTTTGCGGGGTTTGTTATTGCAGGGGGGTAAGGGTTTCTTAACCCCTGCAATAATTATGATTTGGGGTCAACTCCTCCTCCCCGGGTTCGGTTCCGGGTTCCCTTAGGTTCCTCGGCTTCTTTTTTCTGGAGGGTTTTCTGCCTCGTGAATCTCACCTAAAGAGGTTCGGGAGGCACTTGTGCCGTACTTCCTGAGAGACCCGGATTCTGCCTCTGTGATGGATCCGTCCTCATTTGAGTTCAGTTTTTCTTCCCTGTATTGGGTGCATTATGGGGTCCCCAGAGTCTTCTTGGCTGGCAGACTGCCCATTCTTTTCGCAGGGGGCATGGCATGGGTTTTGTCAGCCCTACATGCTAGAATGGCCGGAGGCTGCCACCATTCTGCAGGTTTAGCTGGGGGGATGGGGAGCGATTTCGAGTATCTAAATTCATGCTTGTTTGCCCCCTGTGCTTTCTCAGGATGTTGGCCTGGTACAGCTGCACGTGCAGAGGATGTGGAGACGTTGAGTGCCAGGCCTTCGTCTGGTGTGCCGGCCTCGGCGGTTCGGGCATCGGCCGCATTGTTGAGGTTGTTTGTTCCGCTTGGGCCCTGGCTCTTAAGTTTTCGTCTCCTTGTTGTACATTGCTGTTTGCAGAGGCTCTTGTATTTGTAGGCCCCTCCTAACCACTCTGCATACTCTGCCTCAACCCAGGTCGTACTCCATACCTGTGTCAGGTTAGGTTATGGTCTGTAGATTTCGTTGCTTTGGCCTGTAAAGGAGCTAGTCCTCTCCCCCAGTTTGGTTGAAATGATATGCCAGCACACCTGCTCTAATAAGGTGGTCTTTTATAGACTTCGCCTCCAGGTGATCATGGGAGGGTTTTGTGGGAATTTTACCCAGGATGGATGTTCACTGTACGTTTCCCTCATCCATGTACATACTTCCTGGAGTTTTATCTTAAGCTGTGCTGCAAGGCCGGGGAAGAAAAGGGTTGGGAGGATCCATCTTCTGTTCTACACTTGTTGTGTTCTAGGTCTGAGTAGCTCCTCCCTTGTTTTTTGTTTGAGTTTCTCCTGGGCCGCATGTATTATTGTCTCTGGGTAGTCTCTTCCTGAACATATTCAATAGGTCATCAAGCTGGAGGTTTAGCATCTCTTCTTTGCTGTTAATCCACTTGAGTCTGAGTCCAAGTGAGTAGGGTAGCGATTTCTTCAAGGCTAGTAGGTGGCTCGAGTCAAATTTCAGATACGCGTGAAGGTTAGTCAGTTTATAGTATGCTTTCATATGCAGATCCCTGGGTAGCTGATCTATATACACTGTTGTATCTAGGAAATTTATCATGAAGTCACTGTGTTCGAGGGTAAACTTAAGGTTTTCATGAACTGTATTTGACCATGAAAAGAAACCGTCTAGGCGCGGGAAACTGTCCTCAGTTATTCCGAAGATGTTGTCTATGTAACGGAAATATACCGCCAGTCTGTCCTTCCTGCGGGACCTTTTCCTCTCGAACACTACATGCACAAATATTTCAGCGATTGCCACACTACTGGATGCTCCAATTGCTGTACCTTTTTGGGTAGTTTTGCTCTGCCTTCAGTGGAGTTGGTCCCTATATAGTATAGGGAGCCTCCAGGGCTCACCCAGAAATAGGCATTTCATAACATTTAATGTTGCTTTTGAAAGCTTGCAACCTAGGAAACTAGTTTAAATCTGGTATATGAATGTTTCACGATCATAGAATAACAAAATTATATATTTGTATAAAGTGTTTATGAATGCAAATATTCTGTTTTCTTCAGTGTATGAGTATGTTTGATGTTATCCCATTATGAGATGTGATATAGTAACTGTTACTACTTTACAGAAGTGGAGAACGATGACCAGAATCCCAGAAATAAGTCTTCTCCACCGCTTACTTCTAATTTATCCCAGTTAGATGAATCTCCAGTGAAGTCTAAACCTGATAAGGTATATTAAATGCTCTATGTCAAATATTTTAAGTTAATGCCAAATGAGCCTTTTTTTTTTTTAGGGAGGTGAACTGTTGAATGGTATATTCCTCATGCTGCTCTTATCAAACATAACATAAACACTTCTCTGTCTTTTTAATTTCCAGTATTATTCTGGGAGCTTTTTGTTGTTTAGTTCTGTGGTTTAGTTCTGTAGTTTTAGTTCTGATGTTTAAGAGCAATGCAGACAGAGGATGCATCACTACTTGTTCACTAACATGTTCTGTTTGGAGTGAGGTTTTGTCTCCTGCCACAATGCTGGCAAAGAATGCTAGTCTCCAAGATCAATGTGCATTTACATCAATGTGAAGGGAGAGAGCAGTGATGTGGATGGCTCCTCGGTGCATTTCCTTTTCTCGGGTCTCCGCCTTCTGGCTGGACTCTGACGTTGCCCCAGTTGGACATCGAGTGTTTGTCCCATTTTCTCATGTGTTGCTATAATTTAGCCTTAGGCTTGTTTCTGGGTTCTTGGGATTTAGCCCATTGTGCTGTTCATGTTCACAGGTATCATAACATTCTCATAGATGACCTCTCGTTTTCATCCAGTTGGGCCAGAATGGGAAGTGGATATGGCACCCTTTCGCTAGATATGTAACACGTTCGGTCTCCTGGGACCTGACAGCTGAGTGGACAGTGCTTCGGATTCATAATCCTGAGGTTCCAGATTTGATCCCCAGTGGAGGCAGAAACAAATCGTCAGAGTTTCTTTCACCCTGATGCTCCTGTTACCTAGCAGTAAATAGGTACCTGGGAGTTAGATAGCTGCTACGGGCTGCTTCCTGGGGGGGTGTAACAAAAAGGAGGCCTGGTCAAGGACCGGGACGCTAAGCCCTGAAATCATCTCAAGATAACCTCCTGCAAGCGACATGTTTGGCTCTGTATGGAATCACAAGTGACATATTTGGCTCTGTATGGAATCACAAGCGACATGTTTGGCTCTGTATGGAATCACAAGCGACATGTTTGGCTCTGTATGGAATCACAAGAGACATGTTTGGCTCTGTATGGAATCACAAGTGACATATTTGGCTCTGTATGGAATCACAAACGACATGTTTGGCTCTGTATGGAATCACAAGAGACATGTTTGGCTCTGTATGGAATCACAAGTGACATATTTGGCTCTGTATGGAATCACAAACGACATGTTTGGCTCTGTATGGAATCACAAGAGACATGTTTGGCTCTGTATGGAATCACAAGCAACATGTTTGGCTCTGTATGGAATCACAAGTGGCATGTTTGGCTCTGTATGGAATCACAAGCAACATGTTTGGCTCTGTATGGAATCACAAGCAACATGTTTGGCTCTGTATGGAATCACAAACGACATGTTTGGCTCTGTATGGAATCACAAGCAACATGTTTGGTTCTGTATGGAATCACAAGTGGCATGTTTGGCTCTGTATGGAATCACAAGTGGCATGTTTGGCTCTGTATGGAATCACAAGTGACATGTTTGGCTCTGTATGGAATCGCAATTGGCATGTTTGGCTCTGCATAGAATCACAAGCAACATGTTTGGCTCTTTATGGAATCACAAGTGGCATGTTTGGCTCTGTATGGAATCGCAATTGGCATGTTTGGCTCTGTATAGAATCACAAGCAACATGTTTGGCTCTTTATGGAATCACAAGTGGCATGTTTGGCTCTGTATGGAATCACAAACGACATGTTTGGCTCTGTATGGAATCACAAGCAACATGTTTGGTTCTGTATGGAATCACAAGCAACATGTTTGGCTCTTTATGGAATCACAAGTGGCATGTTTGGCTCTGTATGGAATCTGTAGTTAAAAGTTACATTACTCTTTTCTGGGGGGAGCCCCGTTGGCTCACCGGAGCTATCCAGACTGATTGGATATGTATCACTTTTTGGCATCAGTCAAGGTGCTTGGAGTTCTTGCCTACCGGGGACCATAAGCCAGAATCTGGCCCCCTCAGAGAGGCACGAGGAGCAATGGCCTATAGAAACCCCCCATGTGGTTGTGAGCAATCTATGTCTGCCATCGACCGAGACAGGCACCCAGAAAGGTAGGTGCCCCAAAACAAACCCCCTATTCTGGTGAAAATATTGCTACCGAAAGCCGAACGAGTGGCTAGAACTCCCCCAAACAAAATTAGCAAACTAGCATGACATCATTACGTCGCTGCGCTGCTGCCTGCGCAACCCCTCCCCTACCTGGGAGGGGAAGGGGGAGACCCAGACCTTCCGCGCCGGTGATCCAACCGGCAGTTCTTGCCCGATGGGATTACTGGCCAGTTGGGTGCCTCTGGCTCCAGTTTTGGTTTCCGTTCTATGCCTTGTGGCGTGGGCTGTCTCTCCAGGTGGTGTGTGAGCCAGGATACATATTCCACGGTACTCAGGCTGCATTCGCCTAGGGTTCTCTTCCCTAGGCGAATGCAGCCTAAGTGTACATGCGTGTATGAGGAAAAAAAATAGTGAACGGTGATTCGTGGAACAGTGAAGTGGAACGGGTATCACAACAACATATAAGTTGGAAGTGAAGGAAAATCGTGTATAGAATATTATAAATATAGAATACTAGAAATATAGAATAGTGGCAAGACGCGGCATGAACTAGGCTGTGTTTACACAAGCCACGAGGCCTACTCCAGGGCAGTCCCCAAGCGATCATAGCGACGTCTGCTAGAACATTACCACACATCCCAAAAGCAGCCCGCCCAAATGCAGCAGCCAAACTCTGTAATCTTCTGAAAAGGGTCAATGATGCCCCGGAAAACATTCAAGCATGGCATAATGTCCTTATGTTTGGCAATGTATGCCTCACCGTCCCTCCAAGGAGGGACAAATCACTTGCTTCCTCGGTCCTGAGGGCGATAAATGAATACCCAAAGGGGGACAACCTAGTTCGCCTGCCTCTCCGAGCAAAACACATCCACCACAGAAATGGTAACAACAACATACCGGAAACGTACAAAATCAGAGCACAAATCACCAAGAAAATTGAAGAGGGAAATACCGCAAGTGTTATTAGAGTCCTCACCAGTGACGAAAAAATTGCTCCTCGAAACTCAGCCACAGCACGGGCCCTGTAAAGCAAGCACCCACCCAGAGCCCCTCAAGGCGACAACATCGTTCCGCCATCAGCCAACACCATTTCAGACCCATTAATCGTTGGTGAATCTGAGGTCTACAAAGCAGCCCTTTCTTTTCCACCTGGGTCAGCAGGTGGCTTTACAAGGTTAAAACCTCAACACATCAAGCAAATGTTAAATCCTGCAGTTGGTGATGCTGCACAAGATCTTCTTATGGAACTCACAAGGTTCGTCAACATGTGCCTGGCTGGTGATATACCTGAGGTCATCAGGCCTCTCTTTTTTGGTGCCTCCCTCTGTGCTCTCAAAAAGAAGGACGAAAGAATCAGGCCAATCGCTGTTGACAACACTCTCCGACGCCTGATTGCCAAGGCTGCTACGAGGGTAGTCAGCCAGCAAGCGGCTGAATTGCTGAAACCAATCCAGCTAGGATTTGGAATCCCCCAAGGCTGTGAAGCGGCTGCCCATGCAGCACGAGCATACATCATCAACATTTCTGGTGAAAAGGCCCTGCTCAAACTGGACTGTAGGAATGCCTTCAACATGGTCAGAAGAGATGCAGTACTTTGTGCCGTACATCGCCATTTCCGGCCCCTCTACTTGTTCATACTATCGTGCTACAATGGTGAGTCAAAACTGCTCTTTGGTGAACATGAAATCAGATCATGTGAAGGTGTTCAGCAAGGTGATCCTCTTGCTCCCCTTCTTTTCTGCTTAGTCTTAAAAGAAATCACCGAAAGCTTGTCCAGCGAGTTCAACATCTGGTTTTTGGATGATGGCACTATAGCTGGCACTGTAGACCATCTCTTGGCAGATATCAGGAAAATAAGGGAGCAAGAAGTAAGCCTTTGTCTTGTCCTGAACCCTTCCAAGTGTGAAGTAGTCTCTTCCAACCCAGACATTGTAGCTAGAATAAGGTCTGCCTTGCCTGGAGCCCATGTCATTAGGGCCGAGAACAGCACCCTCCTTGGAGCCCCCCTCAGGTCTAACACCATTGAGGAGATCCTTGACAAGAAAATCGCAGACCTTAGGAGGATGGAAGACAGAATAGGTGACATCGATGCCCACGATGCTTTTTATCTCCTCACCAAATGCCTATCCCTTCCGAGGCTAACCTACTTTCTGAGGTGCGCCCCATCTTACGACAGCCGAAAGCTTGAAGAGTATGACCTCTTACTGAAGACCATGCTGGAAAAAGTTGATAACCTCTCCCTCAACGAATGCCAGTGGAAACAAGCCACTCTTCCTGTTAGGCTCGGTGGCTTGGGTGTCCGCACCGCTACCCAAATTGCTGTCCCAGCCTTCCTGTCTTTCTCCTCAGCATCAGATGACCTGGTTAAGGAAATTCTACCTGACACCCTGAGTGATGTAGCGGGGATACAGGACCCCCACTACACGGAATGCGCCACGAAATGGGGTGCCATAGCAGACCCAGCACTCAGACCAGCCATGCCGAAAGCCAAGAAACAATCCAGTTGGGACAGTCCCATTGTAGACAAAGAAGCCACAGCTTACTGGAGGCAGCAACAACCCCCAGTGATCGTGCACGCCTCACAGCTGTGCAGGCTCCCCATGCAGGGGACTTCCTTTTGGCAGTCCCTATGTCTGCAACAGGCACACGTCTTGATCCGCAGGAGCTCCGTATTGCAGTCGCTCTCCGTCTTGCTGCCCCTATCCACACTGTTCATAGGTGTATTTGCGGCGAGGCAGATGCTGACGAATATGGATTGCATGGCCTGCACTGTGGAAAATCTGGTGGTTGGCACACTAGACACGACGAAGTCAATGACATCATTAAAAGAAGCCTTGCCTCTGCTCAATGTCCAGCGGAGAGAGAGCCCCGCAACCTACTGAACCATGACTCTGTTAGCTTTGCCGGCCGACCAGACGGAATCACACT